TTTTGTTTACAAGTCGTTTGTGCACCCATCCCAGAACGAGGATTGGTGGTGGATGGGATGGCTGTGGCATTCTCATGCTTATTTGCCATGTGGGCAACTGTCACTGGGCTGTCCGTCCATTCATTACCGACCGGGGCTCGGGGCCCAATCGATGGGGAGCGGCTGCTCTGCTCCATCATTCATATTCAATTGGCGTTCTGTTTTTATTGCGCCTTGGAATAGACTACAAATATTTGTAGTGCACTCGTTCTGGTACTCTGGGTGGGGATGGGGGTGGGGATGGGGAATATGGAAATGGACACTTCCTTGAGCAGAACACTTAATTGATTGCTTTTCAGCTGAGCTTGTGGGTGGGTGGCTGGAGGGTCTGACTGCGTAATTGATATTTAATTAAAGCGCAGCTCAGTCGAAGCAGTTGGCGAGTCATGGGGAGTGTCCTGCTGCTGGCAGGGAGTGGTGGCATGGAGGGTGCACCGAGAAGTAGTGTGGATGGCTACTCGAGAGTGGCTAAGTGGTCGTCGTCATTGCAGGCAGCGGGATGGACTGACGAAGCCACCGAGAGTGAGTAATGGCAGCCATCTAGAGACACTAATGGCTACTGCGGAAAGCTCCAGCTCCAGCTCTAGAAATTTATTTTTAACTCTGGGAAAATGCAAAAACGCAATTAAGTTCGTGTGCAGCCACCTCTAAGTCATCTGATTCAATTAATTGTAAGTGATCCATGAAACTGGCAGGTAAAAGAATTCACACAAAAAACGATACGATACAATTATTGTCACGGTATTCTGCTCTGCAGTTCGCTCTCAAAATACTTTAAATCAACTTAATTTTCGACAACTAGAAACACTCAATTCTCAAATCAAAGAACACATACCACGAGTAGACATATATGTATGTCCAAATATGTACATATGTATGCAAGATATTGCTTAAATAAAGGTTGAATTTTAATAATTAATTTAAACGGCATATCTCGATCTTGGCTGATTTCTGGTGACTGATATTCGAGTGATATTACGGCTGGCTGCTGTGACTCTCCCTTTACGACAGTTTGCTCTTTCCCTTTCTTCTCAGCTGTGGATCTCCTTCAGCTGTTTCTCTGTTGTCAACCTCATTCTGCTGTTTCTTCTATTTCTGTTGTTCTTTCTGCTTTTGCTGCTGCTGTTCCCCATCCTTAACCGCTGCTCCTTCAATGGGCCAGCCACTCCTTCTGTACAATGTATGTATATATTTTATTGAAATTATAACTACAGTCTTGAAGGTTTCAATTTATCAAAAAATTCGCAATTAAGTGGAAGCACTTTCCTTGCAACTAAAAGAAGAACAAACAAAGGCCTGGCTGCACCCAACGGCTGTACCCACTTCCACTAACAAAAGGAACAAATATTGGGGAAAAATGTGAAAACTAATTCGATTCACTTGAGAGCCGAGCCATTCGTTCTCCGGCGGACTTGAACAACATCCACACTTGACGAAAGAAGTCCTCCAGCAAGCGAAACCCAAAACCCTCGCAACAACAGAAACTATGTCAATCGACGGAGCCGAGAGCGGTGAAAGTACGGTGGAAAGCACGAGGCAAAGAACAGAAAGCACAAAACGGATACCGAAAAAAGGAAACACAATCCAATTGCAGCAAATCAAGCCGAACAACTTTGTGTATGTGCCACTTGAAACTTTCAGACAAGGTGGGCGGTGGAGTTAGTCCAGGGGACCTACTGCTGCTGCTTTTTTGCTGGCCATAATTATAAATCAACTAGCGAGTGTGCCCCACCTGCTGCTGCCTGCTCCCAACTAACTAATCCACTCAGGCAAAAAGGCACAAAGCAACATTAAAAGCCCCTCTCTTGGCTTTTGCTTCTGCTTCTGCTTGTGTTGCCTTTGCGACCCACTTGCAACAAGTTGGGGGTTGGGCCAGAAGGGGGAGGAGATACGAGTATTCCTATAGTTGGTTGGCTCACTTTCACTCTAAGGGCGTCGCAGAACAGCAACAGAAATGGGAGAACGAACAGGAATGGAGCGGAGTGGAGTGGAGTGGAGTGGTGGAGCGCAGGACTGGCAAAAGAGTCCTGAGTCAGAGTCCGGGGCATTTCCCCTGTGTATGACATCAGCTATAATTTCCATTACGAGTCGAGCGCTGAAAATTGTACACCAGGGAGCTTATTAAGCACGCGCCCGCCCCTCCCTTCCCCAGCCTTCCACTGCCTTCCCTTCGCGTCGCGTCGCTTCGCAGTGGAGTAATGTAATGTGCAAATGAAATGAAATAAAAATGTCAGGGGGCGCAGGGGTCGAAATGCCACCGAAAATTATAAAAGCAAAGAGAAAAATGTGCATGGAAGCCCCACGAGCATTTTCCATGGTTTTCCTCCGAACGAAAATGATTTCCATTCACTTGTTGCCATTCGAAGGGCTGAGGGGCGGAATCTTTGCCCCTGAATTTCCTGAAATGCGCCATTTGTGGTCTCCATAGTTCGGGCTCTCTTCATAATTCCAGCCTTGTATATTCTCGAGTGTGTCACGTACGGGGGAGGGGGAGGGATGATTGTAGTTGCATGAATCACAGACAGCGGTGAAGGAAGGGGAAGTGCAAACTTACGAGTTTTTGGCCATTAAAGTCGCATCACTCAATAACGATGCTGGTCACACTGGACGCAGGCGTTGGAACAGCTGTTGCGCTCAAGTCAATGTTACATTACAGTAAACAGCGTGAAAATTATAACACCAAAGCTAGGATAAGGGGATGGGTGGCTCTGGTGTCTCAAAAGGGATGGTGATGAGGGTGGCAGGGGCGAAATCAAAGCATTGCATACTTTACGGGCGTGAAATTACATAATATTCTCGCTCTCCCTTCCCTGCTCGTATCCATCACACACACACACACAGCACACACACACCACACACACACACAATTTCCCTTTGTTTTCAATTTCGTTTTTAATAATCAAAAAGGGATTCCTGGAACGGGGGAGAAATGGCCTGGCCATGGCAACCGACCGGGGTGGAGCTCTCTACCCGTGGGGCTCTGATTTCAACGCTTATTCGGCTTCTGATTATTATTTCATGGCGGAGCAGGCAGCGCGAGCCTCAGTCTTGAGTCCTGAACCCTGAGCCCCGAGTTCTGAGTGCCGCTCTCACGCATCGCGCGCCTAAAAGTATGCAGGCCATGATATTTGGTTTTTATCGCCTTCGCCACATACCCATTACAGCACTTCGGCACACCAGTAAGCCCAACCCAAACACCCCACCGCACCCCACCCCCATTCGCACTCGCTTCGTGTCGGATTCGAGTTTGGGATCGGGGTCGGTGTCGGTGTCGAATTCCTATTCCGTTGTTTTCCAGAAGTTTTGCGTGTTATTATTATTTTACTTTGCAATCTTTTTCTGGCACGTTTCGTTTTTATTTGACTTTTTTCTGCCTTATGCCTTCTGCTTGCTCTCTGCACCATTCATCAATAATTCACATTGATTTCATTCCCACTGTTAGGCTACTCCTCCTGCTCCTCTTCCCAGTCCTTGCCTACCCCTTAATGTTAGCCAAGTTGCTTGCGGGTCTTCGCTTGGTTTTTATTTTCATTCCAACTCGACCTGTGAACCATTGACAGGAGTGAAGACGACCCCATCGAGCAACGGATACCCCGCAGGGGCATGGCAGTTGAAACTGTTTTGCCTACTCGCACAGGTTGGTCCGAGGGGAATGGGAATTTATGACGACGGTGTTACCAGTAACCAGCATTGGCCAAGCGAGCGTAGAAAAGTACAGCCTTTAACATTTTTTAGGGCTGACCCTAAAGACGTGTGTGAGTGAGTCTATACTCACGCCCCACGTGGCAACCATTTTTCCCAGTTTTTCCATTCGTTTGTTGTCGCCGCAGTCCCTTTGCATTGCCTGAGTAGCTGTCGCTCCTGGCAATGATATGGCAACACTGCAGCAGACAGCAGACAGGCACAAACAGGCCGATGGGATGTGAGGAAAGAGGCAACATGAGGCAACATCCAGCATCCATCGGATGGCAAGCAGAACACTCAGTCATGCGTTCCTCCGTTTGGTGTTGTGCTCTGCTCTGCTCTGCTCTGATGTGCTCCTTGTTGTTTTCTTTCTTTTGCATACCCCCCAGCCCACCTTCACCCTGCTCAAGGCCCCATGTGTCCACGTGTGGAGGGGTAGTATAGTATCGCATGTTGATTTGATTGGATTTGATTTAATTTTCCAATTGAAAACACTTTATCATGTTTCCACGTGTGTTTGTGTGTGCCCTCCCCCCATAGAGTGTGTGTTAGAACAACACAAGATACAAGATGTGTATTTCGAATCCAGAGTCCTTATGGATGCGGATACTTGATGCTCGCATGATGTATAGGCACGGCCCGGACTCTGTTGCGCCCTATTACGCGACAGATTCACGCAAGCCACGACAAGACGAATGTGCTGGCGCCCTCTGAAAAATGATTCCAGCAACAGAAACTGCCAGATGCTTTACATGCATCAGAGGGCACACCGGATTAGAACGGAAAGGGGAGGCAAGCCCCCTGGGGAATGAGGATACAAAGAATTGGCACAGACATGTTTATACGTTCATATTAATACTGGCTTCTGCCTCCCTACTACGCATAGGAATTGTCCAGTTGTGATATCTTTAAATGTCGACTGTAGAGAAGTGGAAAGCGTTTTAGTGTTCGCTTCGGTCTGGCACTTGGTAATGGTAATGCAGCTAATGTTAGCTCAGACGAAATATGTTTGAGGAAGCTGTCAAACTGAGCAGCTGCTCAGTAACTAATCAAATCGAGAAGCGAGTTGTGCCAGTATGATTTCCAGTTTGATTTATCAGATGCATTCGCCCACTTGCTTGGCCTGCATGGACACGGTGTATATTGTGAGATTCAGCACAGATGTGAGCAGAGATGTGGGCAGGCAACTCGCGGATGCTTGCAGCAGTCTAAACCTCTCGATTGCTCGATTACCCGATAACTAACCAACGACTCTGCTTTTCTTTTTCCTCCATCAGCAATTGTTCCGCTCGCAGAATCCAGGCCTTGCAGCAGTTGCCTCAAATGCAGCCGCCGCCGCAGCCGCGGCCGCAGCGGCCACATCCGCAGCCAGCGCCGTCGGAGCACCGCCCGGCGCTCCCAACGGATCGCTGCAGCAGTCGCAGCAGCAGCAAATGCAGATGGCCGCGGCCTCGCAACAGTTTCTGGCCGCCCAGCAGGCGCAACAGAACGCGGCATATGCCGCGCAACAGGCGGCCCCGTACGTCATCAACCCGGGCCAGGAGGCGGCCCCCTACATGGGCATGATAGCCGCTGCCCAGATGCCGCAGTACTACGGCGTGGCGCCGTGGGGCATGTATCCGGGCAATCTGATACCACAGCAGGGCACACAGCCGCGCCGCCCCCTGACGCCATCGCAGCAGGGAGCCGAGAATCAGCCGTATCAGGTGAGTCGACCTAACCCACCCACCTACCTAACGCCCATGCACACCTACCCCTCGGATGATCCGAGGTGCGCCCTGTATATATCTACATATATGTACAATCAATATCGATTGGGAGGGAGGGTGAAGGGGAGCACTCTGTACAAGGCTTTACGCGTGTACATTCCGAACCATGTAAATTGTGTGCACCTGCCACCGCAGATGATGTAAGCCTTGATGCAAGGCTCCCGTGTACAGCTTGTACAGGTCGTACAGTGGCCTGGGCTGGACTGGACCCAGACACTGTCTGCACTCCACTCTGTTGTTTTCCCTTCTAAATACTCACATCATAACATAACCAATCTAACCCTGTACAAAATGAAACCAACCACAACGAAATCTCTGTAAAATATCGTCCAGGTCATACCGGCCTTCCTCGATCACACCGGCTCGCTCCTGATGGGAGGACCCCGCACCGGCACCCCCATGCGACTGGTTAGCCCCGCCCCTGTATTGGTGCCGCCGGGCGCCGCCCGTGCCGGACCCCCGCCGCCGCAGGGTCCGCAACTGTACCAGCCGCAGCCGCAGACAGCCCAACAGAATCTCTACTCGCAGCAGAATGGTTCCAGTGTCGGAGGTAAGTCGTCAATCCACTGCTGCCCTACTACCCACTACCCCTCCCACAAGTAATTAATACCCATTGTAATTAGTGTAAAGTGTAGCATATCTTCAACATCATCCACCCACCTCCCACTCGAACTCTACTCTCTGTATATCCTGTATATCTGTATAGTCATTAAACCCGAAGGAAGGATTTCAGCCTCACCTCACCTCACCTCAAATGTCTCCCCATCACATACATATACATAATTATAATGCTGAAGGATTTCAGAGATCCAATCCGACTAGTGGATGGCTGGCTGTCATGGTTATCCCTACAAATCTAATACATACATAATTTAAAGAGTTACATTCCGATAGTTGGAGGATAACTATAAACTCGAATGCACAGAAGGGCCATTGAGTACGCAAAATGTTATTATTGCATTGCCATTGCGGCAGCAACTTCAACTTCAGCTGCAACTTCAGATCAGACTCGACACTGCTGCCACAGTCCCGACGACTGTTCCCTGACTGCGTGGACTCGGCTTTGTATTGGGGCTGGTTTGATAGTTATTTCAGGGGACGCACTCTTAAAATGTTGGCAAACCCGAAACAATAATTGTCCAATCAAGTCACGTGGCATAAGGTTGACTGATAAATATTATTAAAACAAAATGGGTCGCTAGGTGAAAGGCAGCCCCAAAAAGCTGTTTTATTCATCCAAATTATATTTTCCATCAGTTGAATGGCAGCTCTCTCCCACTCGAAGCTGATTTCAAACAAGTTGGCAGCACAAACTGCGAAATCCTGTACTTCAGCAAAGGCATAAACTCTGCATTTGATGTGTCTTGCCGCTGTCTGTGTCTCTGTGCTTGTGCGTGGCCAAAAATAACATTTTGCAATAGAATATAGTAGAAGTCGAGCTCCAAAAAGCCCTAGGGGGGAGGTGCAGAGCTGCGGAGGAGGAGGAGGAGTGCTGACTGAAAGGCAAATGTCGACGTTGGCTTATCATTGTTGTTGCAATCCATTGTTGTAAATTTATATAATTTCAAATTATAATTAATAACAGCAGTCGGGCAATGAAAGTTTACACTTTGTGCTCAAACTGTCTGCCATGCACATCCCCGTCTACGTCCCCATCCTCTGTCCCCATGTCAGTTTCTCAATTACCGGGAAAACAGACGAAAAGTGTTCATGTAATTTTCATTGCTCGTGGGTTGGAGGGAAAAACGAACGAGAAGTCCAAATGAAAATGGATTTGTTGTATGCTTTAATTCGGTTTCGTCAGACATCACATAAACTTAAATCGACGCACTTCTGGCTAGTTTTAAAGCGCACAGATCGGACACGGACAGCGGCAGCGGCATCGCAGCTCCATTAACTCCATTAACAATCGGCCGAAATCAATTATTACGCTTTCCGCCGACAGTTTTCGGACCTGTCCGACTGACTGCCCCGCTCCTGCTCCTGCTCCTGCTCCTTTTACCGCATGCAAAATTCCCGCACCGAGGCATTAATGGACAGTAGAACAGCGCTGGACATTATTATATTGTTAATTCATTTTGCCTCATATGGCAGTTTAATGAAGTTTTCTCCCTCTGCGGCTTGCTGCGTTGCTCCGTTGCTCCATGGACAGGCCACTGTTCCACGTGACGTATGAGTGATTACGCAATTCAATTGCGTATGTGTGTGCGTGTGTGTTCTCCTGCCAACAGACTGTCGTAATTGTTTTCCAGCCTTAAAGCCAAGTTAAAGCTGTGCCTGGCCCCCGAGTCGAGCAATTCAATTCGAATCGATTGCAATGCGAATGAGAATTCAATCAAATCTATTGCTGGATGCAAGTCAAGCTCCTCCGACATGCTTCAGTGGAAAACTGCAATGCAGGTGATTAGGCTAAGGGTCTCTCGAGAAGTGTACCAGATGCACTGATCCACATATCCACGTATCCCCCTCCACATCCACGTTCACAGTCACTGACAATTCCACTTGTACATTCGCATCTCAATTACAATTAGCACATTGGGCCCACAGTTTGTTCTCCTCTCGCACAAATCCCCGCTAACAAGAAGGGGAATCAGCAGCAGCAGCAGCAGCTACCCACTCATTATGTTGTGCAATCGATGGCCTCCTCTCCATCTGCCTCTGCCTCTCTAGCTCTCGTTCTCGGTCTCGGTCTCGCTGTGTGCAATGTCAAAAAGGCTTTTTAATGGAGATTATATTGTTTTAAGTGGCTGACTGAAGGAGAACAGCACAACAGCTGCATCAGAGTGGGTGGAGGGAGGCGGGAGGCGGGAGGAATCCTTTTCTGACTCAGAGACAAGCTGCAATTACAAACGTTAATGCACCTTGGCCTGGGTCTGAAGGGTTGCCCGTTGGATTGGAACACGCAGAGACGCAGGCAGAGACAGAGACGTTGCACAGGGGCTGAGGAACGACAGACGGCTGCTTGACTTTGCAACCGCCAAACCCATTTTGGGCATTGCCTTGAAAACAATGGGGGGTACGAACGAGTAGCAGGAGAGCAGCATCAACAGCAGGCAACATCCTCCTTTGCCTGCCGACTGGCTAAATTATTATGTACACCTTTCGCATGTTGGCAACATGTGATTGCATCGAAGGAGGAGCACGGCACACCCATACACAGGGAGAGGGAAAGTGAAAGCACAAAGGCACCCACCCACCCAACCAACCAACCAACCAACCACTTTGCATACAATGCAGCACATTGTTCATCCTGCCAGTGCCACATTGAGCCGCTCTCCGCATCTGCCTTTGCCTTCGCCTTTGCCTCTGTGTTGGCAGCCTTTTGTGCAAATGAATTCGTTTATTTTGTAAAATGTCAATTGCTACGTTGGCTTACAGAGAGAGGCACCAAAGAAATGGGGGATGTTACTGGGGCACAGGCACATGGGGCGGCAGATTGGAGGGGCATCGAAGGAAGCAGCCGCTCGACTCGACTCGACACTTGCTGTTGCTGGTGTCGGGAGGTGTTGGACGCCGACTGCCAGCAGGCTTGTGCGTGCAGTACACCTTACGCTTAATGACAGTCTCACTGCCGTGTGCAACACGGAAAATGCGTAACGTGGTGTAACTGGCAAATGGCAAAGGGAAGGGGCGAATATTGGCAGTGTGTTTGGGCATTTTTTATGTGCTTCGCTCTAACTTTAATCTCTCTTACAAAATTGATTTAAAGGTACATTAAATGTTGCTTACTTTTATCAGGCTGCAGCAGTTTCAACCCTTCGGGCAGCGGCACAAAATTTAATTGCTAGCAGAGGGGAAAGTTTTTCGAAATTCTTACAGTGGGGCGGAAGGCAGGCAGGGGACAGTAGTAAATTGCGATTGCGATGCTTAATAAATGACAGCAAACACTCTGCTTGCCAGAGGGCCGGAGGGGCAGAGTAAAAGTTGTTAATTCCTGCATTTAAATTGCAACTAATTTCGCGCCTCTCGGCAGCAAGATAGTGGCCGAAAGAGAGATCGAGGCACAGACTAGACTCAGCGACTAAATTCCATTTCGAATGCAGACGATGCCGGGGGGCGGGACTGGCGCTGCGATTGTGGGCGGCTAAGATACACAAACAATTTGCATCAGTGAAATGTCGCTGCTGCAGGGGAGGAGGCCGCTACTCCTGTTCCGCGTCTGCTTACTTCGTTGGACTGGGGGGAGGGGTCTAGGGTCTACGTCTAGGGCTGCATCTGTTTTTCGGTCTAGGTCTGGTGCGTGTAGTTGCACAATTTAAAAGAGAATTATTCATGCAATTTGTGTGGGGCGGCAGGACATCCGCCCCTCCCCTGTCGTACCTTTCGCCTCTCTGTGTAAGCTCAAGTGAGAGCGAGAGTGTGATGGATGGGATGGGGATGGGGGGTGAGAGCGGTGGCCCGCGTTGGGGACACACTTTGCCAAATGAAACTGCAGCCATCGCCATCGTACATATGCGCACATACGTACGCGCGCATGTATGTTAGTATTGAATATATTTACTTATGTTTGTATGTGCATATGTATGTACGAGTGTGGACTGGCAGGGTGGCATTAAAAAGACGCCAAGTTTATTGCAGGCGACATTTTGTGGCTTATGCACACGTTCCGCAAACACCCGCTCGGAGAGGCCCGAGACGACGACACTTTGTCCGCCCTTGGCTTAATGTAATGATTTTATGAATTATAAATGCACACACGTGTCCATTATGCACACGCTTCACTCGCCCCCTAGCCCCTCGCCCCTCGCCCCCTCTCTCTCTCTCTCTCTCTCTCTCTCTCGCTCTTTTCGTCTTTGTCTTTCGAGGCATTATAATTTCAAGTCATTTAAATGGCGGCAGAGAGCGAGCGGGACACGGGAAACTATTACGAGCCTGGGCAACTTTGTAAGCGCTGTTAAGTAGGCTATGAAAAAGAACAGTTTAGGGGCCACCCACAACCCATGAGGACATTATATGAAATGTAATCAGTGTTTAAGCCTCTGGGAGTGACAGAAACCAGCCAGGAAGCCAACAGCCCCGCGCCGAACTGTACACACCCTTTTCCTGCCCATCCATAGCAATGTTGGGAATGAGTTATGCAGCTCCAGGAGCTCCCTGCAAAGAGACGCACCTCAGTCAGAGTTACACCACCGCCGCTGGCCACACAAACTTAGAATTTTGCATTTAGCATTTTGCTAGAATATTCCTCCAGAAACAAATTGGCTAATGACTCTTTCAGCAGAAGAGTGCCTCTCCCTCGGCCTACAGTGAGGCTCCATTCGGTGAAAGCTCAGGGAAAGCGACTACGCTCCAGCCAGGACACCCATTCAACCACTCAACCACTCACCCATGGAACCACTCACCCATGGAACCGCTCAACCGCCCACCTGGGAGCCACTTACTTCGGAGCTGTCGCAACCCCTTTTGCGCAGCTGTTGGCCCTGCATTAGTTGTTGGATAACTTTCTGTGTCAACGGAGTGCACACATGGCCCTGCCACGCCCTCTATTTATGCCACATTCCCCGCCCTAAGGGGGCTGTGGGAACCTCCTGCCACTTTGCTCCTTGCCAAATATAAATTTGTGCAATTAATATTGCGTCCCGGTCTCTTCCCTGCATGCTGCAGCGTGTTGCAAGCTGCAGCTACCGATGCATGTGGCAAGCCATTTGAGTGCTACATCCTCTGAGGGGTCCAGTGAGGCAGAGCCGGGTAGATCGGCTGGAAACGGAATTTATTATGCCTTGTTCTGCCTTGCCCCATGCCTCCTCGTACTGAGAACTTTCCCTTTTCGCCGAGTTTCACATTTCCAACTCATTGCTTGTGTGGCTCAAGGGGGGTGGGGCCATTGGGGTAGCAATAGGAGATTCTTCCGCTGTAAATCTCTCACTGTCACTTCCTGCACCTCACTCTCTCGCTCTCTGGAGCCCCCGGACTGATGGCAAATCAAATGCCAGTGACAGATTACAGCATCAATCAAGTTGCCACCGTCTTCGTCTGTCGTCTTCCCCCCGCCCCTGTCCAGCATCCTTTTACATATCCTTTGGGTCTGGAGACTTGTGTGTGTGTTTGTGTGTGTGTGTTTGTGTGTGTGTGTGTACTGGAACACGACTCATGTGTGTGCGCACCATTAATGCTGTACATTATGGCTTAGACAGATAGATGTGGGCGGAGCGAAGGCTGGGGCAGAGGCAATGGCAGAGGGCGCAGATGTTCGTCCATTTGAAATGCCAACTGGCCAACGAAAACTAAGCCACCCACGCAGATGCGCCTCGAGGCAGGCAATTAAGTTTTACAGGCGCCGTAAAGGCACTCCACTTCAAATCCTCCCGCTCTGCTCGATTAATTACCAAATGCGGCGACCATTGCGAGCACAGCGGCGGCTCAGTTGCGTCACAGTTTTATTTGCAACATCAAACCGAGGCCCTGCCCTAGGCCCGTAAACCGTAAACTGAACGGAAAGACAATTCTCTCCATTCTCCGCTTTGTTTTTTTCCGTTTTGTTGCCTTTAGTGTGATTTGAATTGGCAATAATAAAGGCTAGAACTAACTCCCATGGCTTTAAATACTTGTATCCCTTGGCATCCTTGGTATCCATGCAAATAATGGTTTTTGTAGCACTCCCAGACCACACCAGACTAAATAATACAAATCCCTCCAATATAAGTATTCCGCAGCTCTGTTGAACGAAGGAAAATTTATGCCAGACTATAACGAAACTCCACTCTGTGCTTCTTTTGCAGGCCTCGCCCTGAACACAAACTCGTTGACGGGTCGACGGGACTCCTTCGATCGCTCCACATCCGCCTTTAGTCCCTCGGCCATGGACTACACCAGCAGCGGAGTGGCGGCCGCCAACGCGGTCAACAGCACAGTGGCCCAGGCCGCGGCAGTAGCCGCTGCCGCCGCCGCGGCACGTGCCAAGTGGCCAGGAGCGATGTCGAGCGCCGGGGCCTACGGTGCCTTGGGTGCAGCAGCCGCTGCTGCATCGGCCAGTCCGATCGGAGCCCCGCTGACGCCGCCTCCGTCGGCCCAGTCGTGTCTGCTGGGCAACCGGGCACCGGGAGCGGAGTCCAGACAGCGACAGCTTGCCGTGGGCCTTCCGGCCACTGCTGCGGCTGCCCAGGCGGCCGTCAACAACATGTTCGGCTCCAACAGCTCGCTGTTTTCGAGCCACCTGGCCATGCCGGGAACTGCCGCGGCGGCAGCGGCGGCAGCGGCAGCCAACTCGCGCCAGGTGGTCGCGGCTGCTGCGGTGGCGGCAGCTGCTGCTGGGGCGGCTGGAGCCGCAGGGGCCCCGCAGCCGGGTAGGTCCCGACTTCTGGAGGACTTCCGGAACCAGCGCTACCCGAATCTGCAGCTCCGCGACCTGCTCAACCACATTGTCGAGTTCTCGCAGGACCAGCACGGATCGCGGTTCATCCAGCAGAAGCTGGAGCGGGCCACGGCCGCCGAGAAGCAGATGGTGTTCAGCGAAATTCTGGGCGCTGCCTACAGCCTAATGACAGACGTGTTCGGCAACTACGTCATCCAAAAGTTCTTCGAGTTCGGCACGCCCGAGCAGAAGAACACCCTGGGCATGCAGGTGAAGGGGCACGTGCTGCAGTTGGCACTGCAGATGTACGGCTGCCGCGTGATCCAGAAGGCCCTGGAGAGCATCTCGCCAGAACAGCAGCAGGAGATCGTGCACGAGCTGGACGGGCACGTGCTGAAGTGCGTGAAGGACCAGAACGGCAATCACGTGGTGCAGAAGTGCATCGAGTGCGTCGACCCCGTAGCCCTGCAGTTCATCATCAACGCTTTTAAGGGGCAGGTCTACTCGCTGAGCACACATCCCTACGGGTGCCGCGTGATCCAGCGCATCCTCGAGCACTGCACAGCCGAGCAGACCACGCCCATTCTGGACGAGCTGCACGAGAACACGGAGCAGTTGATCCAGGACCAGTACGGCAACTACGTCATACAGCACGTGCTAGGTGAGTCCAATATTCCAAGCCACATCGACGCTTCCCTAGAGAAAGCCCCCACTAACCCTGATTCTCCACACCATCCGCATGTACAGAGCACGGCAAGCAGGAAGACAAGTCCATACTCATCAACAGTGTGCGCGGCAAGGTTCTTGTGCTCTCGCAGCACAAATTCGCCTCGAACGTCGTGGAGAAGTGCGTCACACATGCCACACGCAACGAGCGCACAGGCCTCATCGACGAGGTGTGCACCTTCAATGACAAGTAAGTCGCTAGCCGCTGATCCTGATCTCACTGAAGCTCACAGACTAATCCCAACTGATGTTCTTCCCTTCCCTTCTCTTCCCTTCCACCAACGCAGCGCCTTGCACGTGATGATGAAGGACCAGTATGCCAACTATGTGGTCCAGAAGATGATCGATGTGTCCGAGCCGACGCAGCTGAAGAAGCTGATGACCAAGATACGGCCCCACATGACCGCCTTGCGCAAGTACACCTATGGGAAGCACATCAACGCCAAGCTGGAGAAATACTACATGAAAATAACTCCCATATCGGTTGCGGGAGCAGTGAGTGGTGCCGGAAGCGCAGCAGCGACCACATCCACATGCTCGATTACAGCCAGCAGCGCTTCCCCTGCCACCGCATCCTCAGCCGTTTCGCTGGACAACAGCAACAGCAGCAGCAGCACCAACTCTTCTTCGACCACCACCAGCATCGCTTCGCCAACGATCTGCTCAGTGCAGGAGAATGGCAACGCCATGATTGTCGAACCAACATCGCCGGCTGTGTCCGAGTCATCGTCGCCGGTGGTGGCTGCTGTCAACAGTGGCCTTGGGCCCATTGGACCACCCACAACCGCCAATGGGGTCCTATAAAGACAAGTGACGAAGAAATCATACGGTCGATGTAGTCAGCAGAAACAACATCCTCCTTCTCGAATCGAGGTTTAGTTTTTAGTCGGGCATCTGCCAGAGGGTGGAGAGCAAAGGAGGAGACGAGCCAAAAGCTAAAGCATACTATAAATAAATACATATAAATGTAATCTAATTTATTGAACAAGCAGCCGAATCGAGCTGCAATCAGAAGAGACCGGCCTAGAGCCCGCTTGGGCCATCGGAGAATTGTAAAGAGAGAACTAACTCACTCACACGTACACACGTACTCACGCACGCACGCAGGCACGCACGCAGGCGAACACGCTTCTCGAATACGAGCGAAAGCAAACACCAGAGCGGAACACACGATGTAGAATGCTTCTATAAAAACTGCAATTTCTACTGCAACTGTTACTGCAACTGCTACTGCAACGCAACTGCGGTACGATCACTGTGCGGTGCTCGTGCACTCGAAAAAGAAAGAAAAAAAAAGAAAGAAAACTCAAAACTAATTTGTATTTTTACGAACAAAAAAAAAATAGCACATAAATGAACGGAAGATTTCTTCAAGCGGAATATTTGTACAATGCGGTCGCATGTTTAAGTTTAACAAGAAAAAGAAAGAAAAACAAAGAAATTATTATGAATGTAATTGTCAAAGAAACAAATTGTCTGCGTACACTTTCGTTGTAACTTTGTAAATGAATGATTATATAGCAAGCCTATCTGTAAATGATTAATGTTTCGACTGTAAATTGATAAGAGGACAAACCGAAGAGCCGGAAATTGAAGGAGATTGCGATGTAGAGAGTAGGAGTAGAGAGAGAAAGAGAAAGAGAGCAGCAGCACGAATATGCGTAGAATTTATAAGTGCGGTCAGAGGAACCATTTCAAATATACATACATACGTTTATATAACGAATAGCAACATAAACCACACATAGTGTAGAATGTAGAGTAAATATGTATGTTAATGGAGCCAGCAGCTACCAAAACAATATGAAACCGGAAACACACACATACACATACAAATACACACACACGAACACTCGAAACACTCTCACACTTTCACACTCACACACAATGAACGACTCTTCGACTCATTCGCGCTGCTTTTGCACTGTGTAAAATTTTGTACAAAAAAACCCCCAAACTACAAGCCATGTATCCGATGGTAACCATGTAATTTTTCAATTTGTTCACATGTAAAATTTAACTGTTATGTAAAATTCTCATTAATTTTAATTGAACTATTTTTTGTAAATTATGTACTTGCTGTGTATAAAGGGAAACGAAACCGATCACCATAACGATAGCGATAGCGAACCATGAAAAACCTACGAGACTCACACGCACATCATGCATACACCATACACACCTGTACACACCTACATACACACGTTTAACACCCATACACGCATGCATTGGAAGCAGGCTAATACTATTATTATTATCACTTTTGTATACATATGTATGTACTTTGTAAATTTGTTTGATTTTAAGTCACAGTAACCACATACTTACTATATTCTATTCTATTCTATTCTATTATATTCTACACGCATGTATTTATAATTTTATACATCCTACATGGCCCCACGCACCACGCATTATGGTGATGAAGATCAAAGTCGATGGTGTAGGTTGGTGGGCGCCAGTAGAGAGAACCCAACCCCTGTTTAGCCAAGTAAGCCCAACTGATTACCGAATTATGATTTTTTTAATTGAAGATGATGATTTCTCAGCGATTTTTACTACTTGTATCAGCAAAAGAAAGAGAGATAGAAAGGGCAGAACAAATGTACGCAAAACCTATCAAATAAACCAAGCGAATGCAAATTTGTACTTGTTCCCATTTTTTGGCTTTCAAAATTATTCTTGCAAAAGTCTTTCGTTTGTCAGTCATTGCCAGCCCACCTTACTGTATGATATAGTATGTATTTATACGAATATGTTTTAAAACAAATCTTACTGCTGTCTGCAGTGGTTGCTTGAGACTGCAGAAAGTGCTTACTGCCCTGCCCCTGCGCGGCTTGAATCGCATTCGCTGTGCAACAGACAGACATCTATGAATCATCTATGAACCTCATTCCCCATCCCTCACGTAAGTGTATAGAATTGTTTTAGCATGTTATTGAAACACTTGTAAATTGCAAACAAAAATTTTATATGTATACATACATATGTACATTGTAAAAAGTAACCAACAATACGAGTACCAAGAATTTTGTACATTTTTTATATAAATTTAGACTATTTCGGGACGCCTTATTCCAAATATTAAAATACTGAATACTGAAACGAGAGATGGTAAAAAAAGAACGAATTTAGACCTTTTGTCGGTTTCGTCGAAACACAGATGTATCCATGTAAAACAATTTTTGGAGATTATTGTAAATGTAAAGTGTATTAGTGCATATTTTTGTACACACAATTTCGTTGTCGTGTTTTTGTCGTTGTTGTTGTCGTGTCGTCATCATCGTCGTTGTCGTGTTTTGTATATAACCAAAGTAATACCAATCATCGACCATTTGTAACTATAAATTTCTGTACCCCTGCAACACACCTGATACATAGAAGTGCGACCCCGCAATAAGCCACCGCCAGCGCTAAGATCACGCCGCTCTTTGGCATATCTGGGCAAGTGAGCGCATTTCAAGCGACGGCGCGAGCAGTAGTTTGGTATTATTCGTTTGGTATTTTTAGTTATTAACTAATCAACTGCCTGTCTCTAGAGCGCAATGCACTGATAATTTTAATTCATATTATCCATAGAGGAATCCATTGTATGTAGGAATCTCGATATGCTTCTGTAGGAGATACATTTGTACATACTAGACGTTACACATTATTTGCATTTGACGTTTAGTATACCACATGACACCCCGAATACACGCACACCCGAACACCCACACTTGCCCTCCCCTCACATTCACAGAAACAGAACACACATACATACATACAGCAAGCTGCTTAGTCGTAATAGTAAGTGTAAGCCTGCAACTCTATATATACATACATACACACACATATATATATATATATATAATATACACAAACAGATATAAAACATATGTATTACACTTAGTTTTGAGCTCGACGTGTAGCAACGTTTTTAAATATGTATGTATATGTATACTGTATACTGTATATGCAAATACAAAGGCAGCGACACAGTGAAATTTACACGAAAGCTGGCGTATTCTACACGCGCCCAGTTTTTACAGTAACAATTTTTTGCACGCATGTAGATCAGATCATCACTTGAAGAAACAAGTCGGAACCCAAGAGAAATGTAGTGTAACCATGTAAACTTGTGACATGAAGTGTAATGTTTTTTTGTGTGCCAGCATACGGCACGCGACCAACGGCCCTCGAGGTCGGACAGTCGAATTTGCAAACGAGAATCCAGGAGGTAGCGGAAACCCAATGAAAATTGTACATTTTTCTTTGCCAACTTTATTGTAAAAACGAAATAAGAAACAAGAATGAATACCGATTTTGAAAAGGCATACACATTACCGATTTGTAAAGTATACTTATAGACACAGCAGCAGCAGAAATTTGTAAAATTTTTCGACAGCAGAACCTTGTAAACTAAGCTAAGGACATAGCTAAAAACCATACACTGAATAAACCATTTGTAATTTGTTGTAAAAAGAAAGTACGAATCGAGCGAGAAAGGAAATTTGATGGGCAGGCATTTCCTGAAGCAGACGTAAAGAAAACCTATAAATTATATATAAAAATATACTAATATATACATACATATAAATATAAATTATAAAGGATAATTACGAGATGTATTTTGTAGTTACACACTCGAACACTTGGAAACCAATCTAAGTTTACAAGCAGAGCAAACCCTTAGTTTTGTAAACGGCGAGCAATTGGCACAACTTACGAGTACGAGTATATACAACATTTTGGAACGCATTCGAGCATTTGATTTAACTATGCATTAGACTCTTATGTTTATTATGATTATACAGAATATGATTAACGCTAATTTCTTTGTGAAAAAAAATAAAACAAGTTTATTATGTAGCAAAAAGCAAACGTTTTATTTCTCAATTTTATCGAATCAATTGGCCCTTCTTCACACAATACACACAACACACATGGATTCGAAATAAAAAGTCGAGCTCGAGCTCGAGTTTAGTTTTCTGTTTCTGTTACAGTTTCAGTTCTACAAATTTCAAGTTCAGCTTCAAGTTTCAACAAATTGTCTTCAATGGAAGGCTGCGATGACAACAAAACTAAAATCAAAATTGATATTAATACGACATGAAAGTAGAAAATAGCATAGCATTATATACATGAAAATAAATATATATAAATAATACACACTAACCAATACCTACAGCCCTTCCCGACACCAACAAAACGGCACAACAAACTTGAGGTGAGCGCAAGGCTTGAGGCGAAGCATTTTATACGGCGCATTTTTTATATATGAACAGACTAGCTGTCTATATGATATGTATACCCAAGAAATGATCAACTTTTATAATGAGCCAGTAAGTAAACAAGAAATATTTTTTTATCAGCCGTGGCAAGCAAAACTTTACCAGGCCGTCAATTTTAACAAGATTATACATACTAAAAAAGAAGAATACCTAGCCCAAAACCAAAAACCAAGTCGAAAACAAAAACAACAATAAAATTCATACCATACCATTTATCATCTAGTAGAGTTTTTCCAAATTGTAGAAATGTATACATAAATATATTTAGATTTGTACTTGCACTCTCGATGTTCGGGTAGGGTAGGCATACAATATTTCCACAGCATTAACCATAAGTTGGTCATTCCTTGAGATCAGTCATTTAAGAGAAGAGAACTACAATAAACCAGGCGAAAATCGTTTAAAAATGCAGCATACCAAATGCCAACCAACATACAGTATAAATATATGGCTTAACTGTTTATAAGGAAACCAAGGCAGGCCAATGTATTCGCATTCAACAGCAAGCTGTACGTTCTGGAAAGTGGAAGGTCGAACTATTAAGAAAAGAAAAGCAATCAATTACCTCGAACCAGTTTCGTTCCCAGTATTTACTTTTCTAACCCTTCAATGACCACATTTTTCGATCTTCCACTGGAATTTTGGGGTGCTTAACGAAGCCGCTCTTGACCAATGCTTGAACTCCTTTAAATGTTGAGATCCTGATCCTATAGCCCCAACAATCTCCACTCATTTCACGAGAAGACACGCAAAAACTTGATTTCAATAAACAAAGATATTAACGCGAAAATCCTTAATCCTAATTAGCCACACATGTACGTACGAAAGATGAGCATAACTAATGAACAAACTTGTAACTAAATACTTCTACATATTGAATAAAAGAATGATATAAAAAAATGGAAATCGGCTAAGTATGCTTTTTATGTTGTTTTATTTAGCATGTTGACGGTTTCTCTGGTTAACATGGACAAGTCATTGTTCCCATCAAGTAAGTAAGAGTTCTGCTTCTTCGGATCCTGCTTTTGGATCATCTTCTTCTGCTGCTTGTTCCGCGTAGCGAGTCGGTGGAGTTCCTTCACTTGTGTATCGTCTGGCCGTGTCGAGTCCTGCTGGGCTCGTCGGTCAGCTCATCTGATGACAGGTCTGCCGAGCCGGTTTCTGCAGGCCCACTGTTTTGAGAAAGGGAAATTTCATTATGGAGTACAGTCCTACAGTCCTTTAGGGACAAGCGGTGTGTGCGGAGTATGTCAAGTGTTCCGATTGTACCGAGTCACCTCATTCTTAAAGGCGCCTGTTAGCCTTAGTTTAAAAAAGAACGCAGATATGTTGGCTCACAGGCGCTCATCTAAATCGATGTACTTGCCGATCGGGTGTACGGTGCTTTATGGTCCTACAGAAATTCCAACCATCTGGCCCCCTACTTTTCACCCTATTTATTAATGACCTGCCTTCAGTATTAACAAACTCTCGAGTACTCTACTCGCTTGCAATCCGATCTCAATAACTTGCAGTACTGGTGTTGTGTTACATGTTTGTTACACCACCTTAATGCCTCGAAATGCAAAGTGATGACATATGTATGATTGCTCCATCCCCTTGGCTCCTTACACCCTCTGCGGTGGTTCTCTTGAGAGATTTTGGTGATCTTGGTGTTAAACTACACCCCAAGCTAAAGTTTTCTTAACACATTTCTACAATGGTAAAAAAGGCCATGGGCGTGCTTGGGTGTAGAAAGAGGTGATCAAAGGAATTTGATGACCCCTATATAAGAAAGACTCTATATTTCGCTTGTTCTTCCGATTTTAGAGTATGGCTCTTGTGTATGGTGCCCCCAGTACAAAGTATACCAAGACCGTATAGAATCAGTTCCGAAAAACGTTTTACTTGGTGTGATTTTTGTGCACAACCTGATCAAGGATCAAGGTAGCCCTGACTTGTTCTTTCAGATCATGGTTTTTTATTGGCCGATTGTAACACATTGTTACTTACCATATGCATATGTACATAGTTTATAAATACCCCAGTTCAAAGAACGAAACATTTCCTCAATCTGGCAGTAGCAAACGAAAATTGAATTTCCAGTTCCTGGATTTGACTTGCTCAACATAATTAAAATCTGAAGAATCGACGAGTAGAACTAGCACTTGGAACAGAAAAATAAACTCTTTTATTTGTTTTATATTTTTTTATTCATTATTTAACGGTCGATTTACAACATCCTTCGTAGGAAAATTAATTAAATTATACAAATATTTCAAAGAAATCGAAAAAATATTTAATATTTACCCGATTACCGGGTATAATAAATCAAAAATAAACTTAAAAGAACTTAGTAATAATCCTACTGCCATTATATTTTAAACATATTCTCAGTTGGTTTTGATTTTTTTAGAAGCTTTTATCCTCTTTTAGGCCATTTAAATTTGTTCTTTATCAAAATCAGTAAATAATTATGGAGCAGGAGATTCAAGGTGTAGAAGGCATGGACTTTGGTTTGTTATGAAAAATTGTTGGAAGTGCCAAGTAAATCGGGACTAAATCCTGGTCCGAAACGCACAGCCCATCGCTCTAAACTTCGTTCTGTTGGTAGATTTAAATGTAAAACATCTCGCAGATATTTATAAGTCCTGGACGAATAAAAGTTTATATTTTGCGCAATAACTTTCTCTGCGGGGGTAAAGGTCGTTGTCTTTTTTAAAAGCATGGTACATATAGTCTTTACCTCCGTAGAAACATTAGGCATGCTGGCTATTAAAGGAAGAACATTGTAATTTGACAAAGCTCTAGTTCTGCGTCGAGTATTTTTGCGAGATACAGCCTTTCTTAAGTCCCTAAATCGTTTCTTAAGTTTGTTAAAGTCTTCCTCTTTTTTTTGTTTATCTGCCAGTAGCTCAAAGCATTTTTTTCGGTAATATGACTCGGTTTGCTCTTTTTCTATGCAGTTTTTACAACATTCGGTATCAATCGATTCATTGTTTTCTAGTGGATCTTTATCAGGAATTTCTGTTGATATCGTATTATTCTCAATCAATCTCAATGGTGGCATCTGTCTTTCTATTGGTTTATTATCTACTGAATTGCCTGAACATTCGGTATCAATCGATTCATTGTTTTCTAGTGGATCTTTATCAGGAATTTCTGTTGATATCGTATTATTCTCAATCAATCTCAATGGTGGCATCTGTCTTTCTATTGGTTCGTTATCTACTGAATTGCCTGAACATGAATTCTCATCATAAATACTTGCATTTGATGGAGTCAATCGAGTATCATCAGGCAACTTCAATGTTGGTATTGCTTGAGACTTTAGTCGAAGCTTTCCGAACCACTCGGACTCAAAATGTCGTTCGCAAATTCGTGAAGTTCTTTTGACCATGTTTCTATTTAAATTACAAGCCCCAACCCATTTATTTAATAATAATGGCTCCGATGGAAATGAGAATAACCTCACAGGCAAATTGGTCGAGCTGTTTCTATATCCACAAACGCAGGAAGAAATAATGCATTTGTGACCGGATTTTCGGTTGTCTTTTTTTTGTTCATTTTCGCATAGTTCCATACTATTCGATTCATTATTTTCAAATGGATCTTCATCAGTTTCAAACTCTGATTCGTTTGAATTTGTATACTGCAAATCAGCTAGATTGTTGTCTGCTGTATTCCCTGACAATGTATTCTCATCACAAGTACTTGCATTCAATGGAGTCAACAGAGGCTTATCAGGCAAGTTTAATGTCGGTATTGCTTTATGCTTTAGTCGAAGCTTTCCTAAATACTTGTCCTCAAAATGCCGCTCGCAAATTCGTGCAGTTCTTCTATTCAAATTTCTATCCAATTTACAAACATCAATCCATTTGTCGAAGAATAATAGGTCTGATGGAAATGTGAATAATCTAGCAGGGGAATCTTTCGGACTGTTTCTATATCCTAAACGGCAGTTAGAAATACTGCATTTGAGACTGGATTTTCGGTTGTCCTTTTTTTGTTCATTTCCGCATAATTTTATATCTTTCGAATTATTATTTTCTAATGGATCTCCACTGGGCAAAATGCATAATTTTATATCTTTCGATTTGTTATTTTCTAATGGATCTCCACTGGGCATTTCTGTTTGGGACACTTGCTCTAATTCGTTTGAATTTTTATTCTGCAGGTCGGATACATTTTTTACCGTTATTTCAATACGTTTTTCTGTTTGTTTGTTGTCTACTGTATTGCCTGACAGTGTATTCGCATCACAAGTACTTGCATTCAACGGAGTCAACATAGTTTTATCCGGAATGTTTAATGTTGGAATTGCCTTGCTTTTTAATCGACGCTTTCCTACACAATTTGCCTCAAAATGTCGTTCGCAAATTCGTGAAGTTTTTTTGATCATTTCTTTATCCAAATTACAAGCCTCAATCCATTTATTTAATAAAAATGGAAACGTTGGAAATGAGAATAATCTAACAGGGGAATCTTTCAGACTGTCTCTATATCCGATACGGCAGGAAGAAATAATGCATTTGTGACCGGCATTTCGGTGGTCTTTTTGATTAGCAGACAACTTTTTTATTGGGTCGCTTTCACAAAATTCGAAATCAATTAAATCATCATTTTGTAATGGATCTTCATCGGAAGTTTCTGTTTCGGACTCTTGCTCAAATTCGTTCGACATTTTATTATTATTATCCACATCGGCCAGTTTGATTCTCTTTAAATTTTCTATTGGTGTGTTGTCTACTGTATGGTCTGAAAATGTATTCTCATCACAAATACTTGCATTCAATGGTGTCAGCAGAGAAAGATTTAATGTTGGAACCGATTCGGGTCTTAATCGAACCTTTCCTAACAGCTCCGGCTCAAAATGACGATCGCAAATTCGTGCAGTTTTTTTCACCATTTTGCTATCCAAATTACAAGACTCAATCCATTTATTAAATAATATTGGATCCGATGGAAATGAGAACAATCTAATGGGTGAAGCTTTCGGACTATTTCTATATCCACAACGGCAGGAGGATATAATGCATTTACTACTATTTTTTTGGTAGCTTTTCAACATACTTAAATAATAATATAATGTAATATTTATAGATGCTTTATATTACCATGAATTTAACAGCAGCAAGTCGCACTGCACGCACTCACAGAGCAACCTGATTAAATGTAGAATTTAAATACGCACAATTGTTTGTTCAACGGCTCAGCAAGTCAAACTAGCACATGCAGTTTTTTCCAGGACACGCCAGGTAACCGATATCAACTGTTCGATCGGTAGGAGTGCCCGGCGATACTTGTGCGTTGAGTGAAGTGCTTGGTAAGAAGGACACGGCACTGAGTCCAGTCCAGTACAACGCGCAATACGGAGGTGTTCCGGCAGTATAAGTCTGAAACAATTTGAGAAAGTTATATAAAAACATTTAAATCGATTAAATAAAATACTTACAAAGCGATTTGTGTGTGGATGGGTGCAGGGGTAGCCCAATTTCACTTCCAAAGCGAGCTGTCGTAAGAGTATCGGGACGTCGCTGCAGGGATAAGTATACAAATAAAAGATAAATGCAAACTTTAATGAGTTAGAACGTCTCGAGACATAAGCGGAAAACTTACCTGCGCCTATACGTCTATACGATCTGTTGAGAGAACGATCTCAGTGGTGATGGCAGAATCCCAATTGAAGGGGATGAAACTTAAGCATAAAACTTTAAGATTTACGTTTTTACACTTACTTTGCAGCAAGCAACTCGACACTATTTTTCTTTTTTTTAACGTCGTTGAATTGTTTTACGATGCAAAAATTAAGAGTATTTTGTTTCATGTATGTATTTGTGGTCGTTCACATAATTCGGGTTGCATTGCCTCTGTTGGTGTGTAGTTTAAACCAATAACAGCAGTAATTTTAGTAAATTTTTCTTGGAGAACCTCGCTACCCTCTAGCGTGGCCGCACGACTTCACTAAGGCGCCAAAGCAAAATCTTCTTTGGTATGTTGGTGAACGTCCAGTTTTGTTGGTGAATTCACTATGTTAATAATTCTTTGGTACGAGCTGTTTCAAAGCATTCGTTTAAAAATAAAATTTAATAAATATTTTGTAAGCGTCGCTAGGTGTCAAACCATCGAGGGCACTATCGGTAGTATCGATATTTTACTGCTAGCCTCTGCTATCGACGGTTTTGCGACTATCATGATAGTATCGAGCTACAGTCGTTGCGCTTTTGATATGTTTGGATTGGCTGCTATAAAATACGAAGATACATTTGTAAACAAATCGACAGGTGACATCTAATTTTTACAAGTTTACAAGTTGGACAAGTTCCTAAAAGGTTTCAATGGTTTTATAATAATTTTTTAAGCCCGATACTATTACAATAGTATCGATTGTTTTTTTCAAAACATTCAAAGTTGATATTCCTCGATTTTGATATTCGGTTTAATATTACTAGCTAGCTGGGACTCTCAGCCCTAAACAAATAATTTAATCCGATAGATACATAAATTTTCTGCAAGATTGTCAAGTTTTCAAAAGTCCCTTTTATTTGATTATTTACATATTAAGGTTCAAAGAAAAACAACATAAAACGAATGAGACGTCGTTTTTGTGGCGCTGCCAGACTCGTGCAATTCGTAGTTGCTGCGGGCTGCCATACCATGATATTTTGTGATATGAAATTCGTCAGTTTTGATATTCAGTTTAATATTACTAGATAGTTGGCCCTCTCAGCCTTGAACAAATAATTTTATTCAATTCGTCAATGAATTTTGTTCAGGATTGGCTAGTTTTCAGAACTATTTTTAATGGAATTGTTTAGATAATAGGGTTCAAACAAAAACGGCCAAAGCCTAAAACGTAAATGTTGACTAAATGTTTCGTCAGTGTTGCTGCTCAACCAAGTTTCTTCTATGCGTATGTACTTTTGTATACCTTATTTCTTTTAATTGATGTTAAATGTTTTGTTCCAAGCTCCATTGAAACATTATTTATTTTTATCCTAGATTGACATGTTTTTTACCTATTAATGCACATATTTGTGTTTTATAAATACATTTATCCCGGTTCTGATACCTATTGTTGGAACCCGTGAGCTGCAAAATTTCGTTAATATCTTCAAAACAGATATTGAGTAGTTTCGGCATTATTTGGAGCCTGAAATTACAAACAATATCTCAAGTCCATAATATCCATTTTCCCAAGGTATGCAGATTTGTTGCTCATTAAGTGGCAAAGTTGCACAACAGTGCTGGTATTCATTTCCCCATGCTGCTGAAATTTTTCCCATACAAATCAAATGTATCTTACGGGAATGACGCAACAATGAATCTTCATTTCATACGCGTTCCCGTTAAGAACATGTTTCTCACACCACGAAAACGTTCTCTTCACCTCAAAAAAGAGAGCAAATTTTGAAGACCCACCACGAATTGAGAGCGAAAAATGTGAGTATTTTTTGTGCGCTAAATGAGTTTGTCGGTCATTATCAAATGTATATATGCACATATGGGCAGTTCCTATCTGGCGTTACGTTACATTCGTACGACAAAATGTTGAAAAAAATAGTAAAAAAACTGAAATTTGGAAAAAAAGATTATCCTCGTCGAATATAATTTGGTTAGACCTATATTCACCAGAAAATTGGCAATAATCGAGCGTACGGTTTTAAAGATATAAGCCAAAGTATGACCAAAAAGTGCGTTACATAAAACAGAAGTGGTTTTCGAGGTTGGGGTACAAAATGGCAAAACTCTGCGAATTGGATAGAGCTATTTGTATAAAATTTTTTGTGGTAATAAATGAAGTATTGAGAGTTAATTTTCAAACTTATTAAATGTAAAAACTTTGCCTCTTTTTTTGTTAAAAATCCGCGGAGGCACCGAATTCCGCGATTATAAAAGCCTAAAAATATACTGTTAGCCGAGGTTGGACCAACGTTCTGATAATGGTTCTAGGTAGTTTAATATGTTAGAAAGACTTTAAGGAGAAACTTTTATTAAGAATCATCTTTTTCCTAGGAGATAATAGTAAAAGAAAACATGTCTATAAAAATACCAGAAAATACCAAAAACGTGAACTTTTGCTAAGTTTCATAGGTTTTAGGATGAAAGTTAATGAAATTATATGTCAATAAAGTAAATTAGTTACCTTTCAATAAATTTAGAAAAAAATATCCGGGAAAAATTATATGGAAATCGGTTTTTATTGACTTTTTATGATTTTTGGCCTGGTGGACCTTTTGGCGGAACTGCCCATATATGGAAAAATAAATAGTTCACTTGATTTGTTTTGTCGAGTGTGACTGGAACCTCAGAAACCTCAGAAACCGAGAAAAAAAATAGCTTAACCCCGCTCTATTTAATGAGGTTAGTAACCACAGTAAATATCAACAAAAAAAATTGAATTATTAATAATTATTTGAGCCTGATACTATCACGATAGTGATTCAAAACATTCTATCAATGGTGGGAATTTTTGGAAGATGTGAAACACCGATTCACACTGAGACCATCCACCATCCATGAAAACTAGCTGATGCACACAATTTGGTGCGGCGAAAAATTTTTTTCTTTTATAATTTAAATGAATATTAATAATATTACTATGGTTGTGAATTTGATTCAGCACTAAAATATATTCTTGCACAATCTAATCATGTTGCTGGATATGGATGATGATAATAGACCTTACGGACCATCCCCGAAATGGTGGATGGTGGATAGTGGCCTGTGGGAATAGGCTATAACACTGCTCTATTTGAACCACTAAAGCCTAGTACCAAAGACTATACAATACCAAGATGCTGCATGAGCGTCCAAAAAGCTATTCTATGGCGTGGGTTACCGGTGCGCCTCTTGGACAGAGGAAGCGCGCGGGGTTTCAATTCTCTTTTCGGCTATGCTTCGTCTCTGACCGCAAGCCCGCTGCCCGACGGCTTCGTCTGTTCGTAAGAAACGAACCGAGCGAGCTCGAGACCGCTCAGCAGATGCGCACAGGGCCCACTGTTGCTTGATAAATTAAAAAGTGACAAAGGGTTCAATACATTTTTGTACATTTCATATCTCTATTCATATCTCCTAAACTAAAATTATCTTGAATATTAGATTCGCTAAAGCTCTGGACATTTTTCTATTAGATGTGTTCATTTATTTTATTAAAAGCGTTCATATATTTTTTAATTTTGCCACCTCTTTTCGGCTGAGTCCCCACTGTAAATACACACAATACAAGAAATTTGAATACGGCATAACTTCGGATATATGTATGAGCGGACGATTTTTTTTAAAGAATCGAATATACCCCTGACGATTTATTATAAAAAAAAGGAAGCCTTAAAAACCGCCTGCTAGCAGTGAAATCAATGGATGGAGTCTCCTGTACCGGTAAAATTTTATTGATTGTGATTGTATCAATATTAAAAACAAACATCTCTTAGGTGATTGAATTAAAAAGAAAATCGAAAGTATTTTATGGGACTTTGGGTGTGATTTTCTGATGGATAAACCCGTAATAGTAACTGACCGTGGAGCCAATATGAAAGCTGCATTCAGTGGATTAAGCACTTTAAACTGTGTAAATCACTTTGTTCACAATCTTATTGGTAAATTTGTGAACGAGGTGCCCGAATTATTGGAAATGGTTTATCGCTGCAGCAAGCTTGTTAAATATTTTAAGAAATCGGGTAAAAACTCTATTTTAAAAAGCACCCTTAAAAGCTACTGCCCTACTCGCTGTAATACAATATTTCACCTTTTCAAATCAGTTCAGATGAACTGGATGAAAATATCAAACATTTTATTTGAAAACAATGAAATAAGTAGAATACAAGATATTAATCTTAGAAACATTAGCGCAATGGTAAACCTTCTAGCTCCTTTTGAAGCTTGTTCAAAAAAGCTAAAGGGTAGCAGCTATCCAACATTGCACCTGACTATTCCATACATAAATAATTAAAAAAAAAAAAACAGCACCTCAAGATAATGATATTGAAATAGTAAAAAAATCAAGCCAATTTAAAGCATTTTCATAACATAGCCCATTTTTTGTTCCCACCCACCAATAAACTATCACAATTTACAGACCTTGAGAAGAAACAAACAGTAAAAGACATACAGTCAATTATGATAGGTATTCAGTTAAATAGCCAAGCTGATGAAAATGAAAAAATAGTTTCACCCAAACCAAAAATAAACTCAATATTTTCAGATTATGGACAACCCATTCAGAGCAATAATATACTAACACTAATGGCTAATGAAATTCAAAATTATAAAAATGTTAATATATCATACAGTGAAGATTTTGATGTTTTGCAATGGTGGACTAACAACAAAACCCAATTTCCGTTGCTTTTCAGAGCCAGTTCGAAGATATTAGCCGTTCCAGCGAGCAGTGCAAAGTGCAGTGAAAGGGCCTTTTCGGTAGCTAAAAATCGAATAGCCGAAAAGTAAATAAAATTATGTTTTTATACTCAAATATTGATAAATTAGAATTAACATAATTAGTTTTAAGTAAAATATTGTACATATTATCTCCACTTTATAATACATTTATAAACACCACATATCTGATTTTTTCTTTTACTTCCTGTTTTCACTCACTGTACAGTATGTACACCAATTTTACTGTACTTATTAACTACTGTACAACTAGGGAGTGAGTGAGAACACCAACTGTCAAAAACGTGTACC